CTTCTGTATCCTGATGTTTGCCCTTAACAGGTTGCTACCTTGTCTTCCTATTTTTTTCTAGTTTTAATTGCTTCTGACAGCCCAGCCAATTGATAGAGCTTCTGTAGTCCTAATTCTCCCTGATACAGGTTGGAATTCTGTGTCAAAAGCTTTTAGTTTCCTGCAATCAAGGAGAAAAACATAGTTTTTCTGAAAGATGACAAAATGTCTAGGGTCATCCGAACATGTCACACAAAGATATTTGCATTTACGGAAAATGATGCAATTCCATGAATATCCCACAGTACAATCGGGTTACAATATAATTCACACACTGCCTCCTAGACCCAATACATCTTGCTAAGTTAATTATTGCATTTTAAACCGAAAAGGTCCCGTTAAAGAATGCATATGCTCAGAGTTTCAGGATGGTAAAGGGTCCCCCCACGCTTTGCATCTCAGAGGCTCTTGGGCAAGCAGAACTCCAGGCATGAAGGAGTCCAAGCAGGCCTCTAACTCAGTTCAATAAATACGCATCAAATGGAAGAACCAACTTAGCACCTGGGTCAGGTCTGCTGCGACCCCCACACTTCTGACTGCAGCTTAAAGTCCTAATCTTGAAGCATTAATAGTTCACACATATTGCTCTGAGGATAAAATGAGTACTTTTGATCAGTGAGGGTTTAGTTCACCTAAATGACCTTGTGAAAAAAGAAGACAGCTAGAAGTTCTAGTGACCTGACACTTCCTCAGTGGAGACTCCGGAGGAAGCAGTCAATGAATGTTTGGGTGCCTGTCAAGTGCCAAGCACTGTGCTGGTGAACACACCTGCCCGGCCCCCAAGTTCTCACTGCAGACACAGGGCCCTGCCCCACCACTCAACCCTGTGAACTCAGGGAGGCCAGCTCATCTCAGGCCTCACTTGGTCCTGCGTAAAATGGGCGTAAGTTAGCACCAGAAGTACTTAGCGCCTGCCACTTAACAGGCGGTCAATAAATGCTAGTTATTCTCACTACAATTGGAAAGACTTACACATACTCAATTTATGTGAACTTTCTGTAAATACTGTACTAATGTTCACCTCACCATAGGCAAACAGAACTCAGCTTTCATATCTGCCCTACCCTAGGGATGCACTTGGAGTTCCCAGCATTCCCAGGTCCGCCACACCCCAGGCCCTGCAGAAGCCACAACCTATGTCTAAAATGATGAGTCATTTTTGGTGTGTGACTCACTATAGTTTGGGGTTGGGTACTTAGTCATGGTAAGTCTGTTCATCCAGCAATGTGGAACTTGTTATAGCTTAAAGTGAAAATCAATTTAAATTTTCAGAAATTTCTTGTGGCAAGAGAAGATACCCAAAGGACGAGGGGAAAAAAAAATAGTCTTAGAAATATTCTTCCTGAATGTAGGGGCTGGGGAGTCAGGAACACAGATGGGAGAGTTTACGTTTTTTAATATAATTATATAAATTCCACTGGGGGGGAATAAAAAAACAGTCCTTCACTTTGGTATCAAGTGTTACATTGTTTCAGCCACCTTGATTGCTCTCACTGTAAAAAGGCATTTTCTCTTCCACAAAGCTGCCCAGAGGTCATCTGTGTAGTTTTGAGCAAGCTGAGCTTTGCTCACTTTTGAGCATGAACCAGATTGTACAGACTCATCAAAAAGACCTCTTAAGAACATGGTCTAGTGGAGAGCACTTGGGATTAAGATCTGATAGAGCGTGGTTTAAATCCTGCCATACCACGGATGAGCCACATGAATACCTATGTTACTTATTTCTCTGTGGGTCTTTCTCCCCTCCTCTAAATAAATACCTATTGCAGACCTATGTAAGTAGGCTCAGAGGTAAGAATTGTAAAGCTCCTCGTAAATAAAATGTGGCAAATAAATATTAGCTACAGTCATCTCGACATGGAATTTTACCATAATTTCACATCTGATTAGAAAACTACCCTAAAATTAAGACTTTTGTGTCCTGGATCTCTAGCTACAAGCAAAATCCTTCTATCTCAGGGAAAATCAAGTATTGATATAAATTTAGAGTCAAGAAAAAACAGTAACAGAATGGGAGTACAATAGACAACACGTGCAACTAAAACCAGGCCCTCTAAGAACATCTCAAAGTGAACTTCCTCAAAAAGAAATGTGTCCAAATGCTCAAACACAGCAGGACTCGGCTGTTTGTATGGAGTCTAAGAAAAAACTGGGTGGGTGCTTCAGCTGTCTGGGTAACCATGCCCAGACAACTGGCCTTGACTGGCTTCCCCAGGGACGTCAGGGCCGAGAGCAGGACATGGTATTTGATCCCACCTGAGGGGCTAAGAGCAGCCATCTCTCCCGTTAACCTGACGCTATACCCACCAAGCAACGTTCTCATAGAATACTGGTTTTCGAAGTATCCTTTTCCATGGAAGAGAAGAGGTATGGACTTACTAAACTTTAATATCTGTAACTCCTCACAAGTGGCAGAACCAGGATAAGTATCAGAAAAAAATGGAACTCCTGCCAATCGCCCCATAATTTCAAGCGTGCCTGTACACCAGCTACCAAGTATTTCAGCAAACTTTGGGACAGGGCGCTCAAAGTATTTTTTTCAACAAATACAGCACCTTAATTCTAAATAACCTCGCAGTCCTGATCTTGCAGGGCTTACAGAGACCTGTTCCTCTTCCTGAACCACCAGGTTCTTCTCTTCAGTGACCCAGGATAAGATCGCGTAAGGCACTTCCTAATTTGTCGTAGCACGAGGTCTCTGGACGCACGTGCTTCTGAAGCACCTCGGGAAGCCGCTGTCGGCCCCACACCGGGAGGCCCACTCCTGCACGAGCATCCTGCGGCGTTTAAGCAACGCCGGCGATGTTATCTCGAGTCGTGCTCTTATTTCTCCAATCCGGTCTTCGCTGTACCACGTTTTCTTTCTCTGAGACGGAGGGACCTTTATACTGGGCATCACTTGACTACAGTATTAATAGTGCAGCAACCCTGCTTCCCGCGGTCGGAGTAAGGCGGGCCTGTGGGGTGCGGGAGGTGTCCAGCCTGGGGACCCCATCAGCGCCCGCTGCACACGCTCCTGCTGCACACGCTCCTGCT